GTTTACACATGTCACGACTTCTATAGGCTCCAGGTTTCAGGCGAACCCTAAACCGCCCTAAACGCTAAAACCCTAGAATCTAAACCCCTTAACCCTAACTTACTCTAAGCCCTCGACCCTAAACCATAAGCCCTAAAGCCTAAACCCTAAACCCTAAACCCTCCCAGGCAAAAACCCTAAAACTTATCAAAGACCCAGAACTTGAACTCTAAACCCTCCCAGGCAAAAACCCTAAACCTTATCAAAGACCCAGAACTCAAACTCTAAACCCTCCCAGGCAAAAACCCTAAACCTTCTTAAAGACCCAGAACTGGCGGCCCTGGCCTCGCAACAGGCGGCACCGCCGGCACTCCTCCCGGAGCGAAGGCCTCACAGGAGGCCGGCTTGGTGTCTAGGGGGTCTTGGGTTTAGGGTTTAGGGCTTAGGGTTTAGGATTTAGGGCTTAGGGTTTAGGATTTAGGGCTTAGGGTTTAGAGGGGAATCGATTTCGGCATATGCAAATATGTCGCACCTTGTGGGAAATCAGATAGATGGACGGATGGATAGATAGACAGATAGCTAGATAGACAGATAGATGGGCAACGCAGCCCTTTTTGGGTACAGCAGTCGCCAGTGGTCCCCAACCACCAAACAGGTCCCGAACCATCACACCATGAATCGTTTCATGTTCCACCAATGGTTTGTCAGAGCCTCGACCTGCGAAACCGTCGAACCAGTCATGTTCCCGCTATGACTGATTTGGGCCCCAAGCCATTTTGAGTAGCAGATCAAGCTTCTTGGCTCAGCTGCTGTAGGGCTAAAGTGTCCCGACCTCAACGATTATGATTTTTTGGTTTAACGGTTTTCTGGTTCAATAGACTAGTGAGTAGGACCACCGTTCATACGCCGCACTGATTGGTATAAGGTTGCTCTGGCTTGATCGTTTCACTTGTATCCCGACTAATGTGCCGGCTTGAGCTGAGCCTAGTGGTCTCCTAGCTTCAAACTGTTCTGGTTTAATTGTCTACTGCTTAGTTTGGATACATGATGATGCATGACAGGTGTCCTGGCTGGGCCTAAATGACCTTTCGAAGCTTTCCTTTGCACGAAGGCCCCACCCGACCGTTCGAAGCTTTCTTTACGAAGGCCCCACCCGACCGTTCGCAGGCTAAACTGATTGGTTCAGTGGTTTACTGGTATGTTTCAGGCTCAGTGGCTTAGTGACTGGCCCTTAATCACACGCAGCCTACACGTTAAACTTGCCGGTCCAGAAAACTTTGCTGCCTACATCCGCATACCACACACATAGGCATACGTATGTATGCTGAAAAATATGCGCGTACTATGTACATGCTTAGAGACACTCGTCGTAACCTATGAGTACAGGATCAGAGAAAGCCTAGGTCGCTGCTCACCATGATGAACATTGAAGCGGTCAGGTGATGGTCAGCTTTCACTTCGGGAGATCATGGCAGCCGCAAACAACCTTCAAGGCTGCAAGGGCCGCAAAAGAGCATCAGAAATCCCTTACAACCCGGCTAGCCTCGGGGAGGAGTGCCATGGCAACCTAAAGAGCTTCTACAGAGCAGTCTGCCACGTTCAGAGGCTGGAAAGCTGGCATGGGCTCTGATGTTCAAAGGAGAAGTGGAGCTTCTTTGGCAGAACATGAGCCAACGAAGCTATTGTGCACATGGAGCGGTCGGATTTTGGCTGGATTGCATCACAAGACGGCATGCTACAGAACTAATTGAGCCAAGAACAGGCTTCTGGATTGCTGGACAGGCTCCCTGCCCACAAACCCGGGAAGGTGGCATTGCTGTAAAGCTACACCACCTAGCTCTCCTGCAGGGACTTCGTCGGCTACACACTAAGCACCTCCTTCTGGAACCGCCATCCCTAGGTTTGCCTTATCTGCTGCCGCTGCTGCTTCGACTGATGCTCACGATGAGGGCAAGAACCAACATTCATGCCGCGATTCCCTCGTCACTTCTTGCATCACTGGAATGTGTTGTTACAAGAAGTGCATACCAGTAGTAGTAGTCGTCGTCGTCGTCGTAGTAGTAGTAGCAGTAGCAGCAGCAGCAGCAGCAGCAGCAGCAGCAGCAGCAGCAGTAGTGATAGTAGTAGTTGTAGTAGTAGTAGTAGTAGTAGTAGCAGCAGTAGTAGTAGTAGCAGCAGTAGTAGCAGTAGGTTAAGCGTTGTTGCCATTATTGCCATATATTGCCATGACTCCATTGTTGGTCTGCTTGAGGTCGTTGTTGGCACTGCCTTTGCTAGCACGACTGTTGTGATGACTGTGGCTGTTAGGTTTAGGGTTTAGGATGATGGCTGATGGCACCGGTGCAACAGTTACGCTACAGTATTTGCATCTTCCTCACTAGTGCTGACGCTATTCGTGACATTCTCTTTCTCACGCCGAGACTGCATCTGTGTTCTCCGCATTCTCTGCAGGCACCTGAGCATGCAAAGAGGGCATATCGGATTCTCATTGACAAACTGGCAACATCAAGTCATAGTCAGAGTTGTGGGGCGAAAGTACCATCGTCCACCCTTGTAGCACTAAGGAGGTTTAGGGTTTGGGGTTTAGGGTTTAGGGTAGGACAGTAATGTAGGGGCCTTAATAATTAAAATAGGGTTTTTGGGTATCTTATAGTTGTAATTTAAGGAATCCCCAAAATAGTATTGGTAATGAAAGCCCCCTACATGAAACCCCAAACCCTGATGCCAGAACCCTGGGTCGGCAGGGCGTGGGGGATAGACTTCACGAAACCTAGGGTTGAGGTTAGGGGTTTCGGGGTTTAGGGGTTTAGGGGTTTAGAGGTTAGGGGTTTAGGGGTTTAGGGGTTTAGGGGTTTAGAGGTTTAGGGGTTTATGGGTAATGGTGTAGGGTTTAGGGTTATGGACTACGAGCTTCGG